ACATGTGTGTGTGTGTGTGTGTGTGTGTGTGTGTGTGTGTGAGAGAGAGAGAGAGAGAGAGAGAGAGAGAGAGAGAGAGAGAGAGAGAGAGACGATAACTCTCCGGCCTCGCGGCTCTCGCCATGCTACTTCCATCGATAGGATGAGCAACATCCAATGAATCTTCGGCTAGAACATGGAAATATACACTACCTGGTTGAATATGGCCGACCGCGTCATGCTACTTCCAGCGATAGGATGAGCAAAATCGAATGAATCTTCCCCTAGAACATGGAAATATTCACTAGCTGGTTGAACATGGCCGACAAAACCGTAGCGAAAAATGAAGCCCGTTCATAAAGTCGCGCCGACACCAACCCCCCCCCCTGCGCGGTGCAAAAAAAAACGGTAGCGAAAAAAGAGCCCGTTCATAAAGTCGCGCCGACACCAACCGCCCCCCCAAAAAATGGCAGTAAGATGGGAACTTGCTACTACGTACTTGTATTCAAACATTGGCCGCCCGCAGGCAACCGGACTCGACCCCCCGGCCTCACCAAACCGGCACGCAGTCCGCCCTTGGGCCTGCCACGAGTCCCACACCAGGGAACCGGGTCTCGCGCGGGACCGTCACGCGAGACCCGCGTTTTCCTTTATATGTAAAGAGATTTTCCTAACATGCTCACCTGAAAGATCAGCAGATTCAGCACTAAATCTTTTTTTTTTCCCCGATGGACCACGAATCAGATATTAAACTGATCAGAACAGATACCACACTTGATCTTAGCCAAAAGGCCGAAAAAAGTGTTATTCAGCACTAAATCTATGTTACCGTTTTACGCATGTTTTTCATATTTTTCATAAAAAATGATGACCAAGAAAAATCGTCAGAAAAATCATCAAAGTCGATGCACTTTGGCTGAATGGTGCACCGGTGAACTGTTGACAAGCACAACTGAGCTTGAATCCTTTTCATTTCTTTCTTTCGTGTCATCCTTGTGCAGGGGCCATGCTAATCTTCTCTGTATCGTTCGGAAGGATATTGAGTGCGAATCCTTATGAAATCAGATGAATGAGATAACTCTGAATTACCTGGGGTTGCTCAGTTCGGTCACTTCGGTGACAACACCTCAAGGCTGCTGCCCTTTTAAAAAGGGTAGGAAAAACAGAAATTGCGCTCTGGCAGCCAGTGTGTATACCGCCACAGGCCTCGGATTTCGTTGGGGGCACAGGTGGCTTAAGCAGTTGTGAGTGATAGGCAGGCTCAGACAGTCTGAGCTGCTGGTGAGATTCCCCGCAGGCCTCGGATTTCGTTGGGGTGTGCTATCCGCAGCACGTGGCTTGGTAGGGGCACAGGGTGGGGCACAGGATGTGGCAGAGGATGGGGCACAGGATTCTCTAGTAACTAGGGGTCGTAGTGTCGTACACATGCCTCATGTCTGTGATATGCTATGGTATGGGGCTGTTTTCTTCGGGGCACTCTTAGGGATGGATGTGGTTGGATGGACTGGTGCCATGGCTGCAATCCATGTGGCTGGGCTCAGAGAGTGTTAACTGCCGGTCGGAGGAATTCCCACAGACTCTCTGTTTTGGAGCACATGGAGTAGGGTTACAAAGGGTACTTTCCTCAGTAATGCTTCTGGTGCCCTGTGGGGATTTTGGTGTGACCTCTTACATCCTATGCAGTGAATGCAAATTGCTGTGCTGTGCGAAGTTTGTGGTGACGAGGTTCACCGAAGAGTTGTTGTTCATAGAAACACTGGATCTCAAACCACCAGTCTGTTTCCCAGGAGCCTTGTTCCGATGCGCCAGTAATGCCCTGCAAACGTTTGGCTTGGGCCTATTGGAGGGACGACTGTCTTCACCCGAATAGATTGCCCGGTCATTATAGCTGTGCCTGTGATGGTTCAGCTCTTTCAGGTGAAGACGGTAGGCTGGCAGTGCCATGCAAGATTGTGCCTGATCGTTCAGTTCTTTCAGGGCCTGGCAGTTTAGCGCATCGGAGAATAGAGGTTTGGATGTACTGGTGGTTTTTAATTGTTTGAGGCCTTCGATGCAGGTTGTTTGATGGAGTATTGGTTTGTTCATTATTTTTTGGGGTGGAAGTGCGCTTTAGGCAGATGGGTTGGAAGCATACTTGCAAGCAGACGGACCGGACGAGCGTCCGGTCCGGTCCGCTTTGCTGCGTGCGGCACCCTCCCCCCGGACCAGACGGACCCGGACCGGACCGGACGGGGCCGTTTGTTTTTGGGGGGGGTGGAGGGTGGGGGGTGGGGCGTAACTGGTCGTCGGGCGCACATTCGTGCGCCGCGCGGGTCCGGTCCGGCGGTCTGCCGCACGTGCGGAACCCCCCGGACGGCGTCCGCTTGCTAGTATGGTCTGAAGGCATCGCTTGCTCAACTACAAACAGCTGGCCGGCCTTGCACTCTGAATATCATTCTATATGTTGGGTTGGATTGAGGTTGATTTTTGGGATTTCTGATAACACACGATCTCACCTTTACCACCAATGCTTGCGAAGGCTGAGTCAAGGTTTTGTTTGTATTGTTGTGGCAGCGCTTCGTGATTCACAACACTATGTCGAAGGCAGTGGAAGGATACTACCAAGAATCAGGCCGTGCTGGACGTGATGGCTTGCCTGCTGTGTGCATGATTCGTTTCTCCAAGAAGGATTTCACAAGAATTGTGTGCATGCTCCGTATGAGCCGTGGGCGGAACATGGCAAGGTTTCGGCATGGAATGGAAATGGCACAGCAGATGAAGGCCTATTGTGAGGACAAGGTGAGATACCGCTCCCCAGTGAACCATTGCGTTTTTGTTCACACTTTGTTCTGATATATTCTACAGTGTGCACTCTGCACCCATCTACTTATAGTTGTCTATCACAGTCTATTCATTCTGGTATGGAGTATGCTATGTCATATGCACCCATCTACCTCCAGGCTGTTCAATGTCGTATGCCATTTATAGTCTGCTATGTAGTTTGCTATGTAGTCTGCAATGTAGTCTGCTATGTATAGTCTCGTTAGAATGCTATGTTGTATGTAATGTAGTATACACCCATCTATTTCCAGACTGCTCTACGTAGTATGCCCTGCTGTCCCTCCGCTTCTCGATGTTCCATAACCAGGACAGACTCACATTGTAATTTATTGCACCAAGCACGGGCCATTCTATTCCCTGATAGGAATCAACCATGGGTCATTCACCTCCTTTTATTGGTAGAAAGCATCATTTGGATCCCCAATAGCATGGAAATCACTAAACTCGATAGCCCACGATCTGGACCGCATGTCAGCGAGGTGGGCAAGACAGTGGAGTTCTGGTCAGGCTGGGCCATGTGCAAAAGGCCAGTGGAGCTTGGGTTGAGGGAAGGTGCAGATGGCCAACTCTGGCTGGCATAGCAC